TCGTTAGAAACAAATATTTTTTTTATATTATTTCACTTCAAAAATCTTCAAAACATCAAATTATGGTGACTGTTTAACTTAAAATTTTGTGTCAACTACGACGATGAACGACCACGTTCGAATGCATTATACCGCACGGCAAAAACCAACAAAATTTCAAAAGAGACGTATCAGTCAATATACTCCCCAAATTAGGACCAAATATAGTCAAACTACGTTTTTACTTTTTCTCTTTGTCGTCAAAAAGTTGCAGTGCAATGCAAAAAAGCAGCATCAGCACCAAATGAATGGGAAAATTTTGTAGAATTAAAAAAACAAAATTTTTTTGGTTCACAAAGACGAACAGGTATTTAAAAACAAATTGTATTTATGGTCAAAAATGGTGCAACTCTGATCTTAGAAAATGCATTATCTTCAGTTTTGTATAAGATTACAGCGAAACGCGTATTTAAATGAAAACTAAAAAAAAAAATATATACTAACAGCCGGTTTCACCAGCAATTTAAATGGAAAATTATGACAGAAAATTTAAAAATAATTTTCCATTTAATGTGCTGGTGAAACCAGCTTGAAATTTTTTCGTGGGTTCTATACTGAAATAAGCTTACACGTGTTCGAGGAACTTTGTTTCTTTTTTTTCTTCTGATCTGTCAAAGTTTGCATTTTTTCGTGGTTTTCATGTACTTCCTCAAATCGTCGATTATATAGTAAAATCGACGTTGGGGTTGGGGCTTAAGAAATCTGATGTAATAATTTGCTTCTTACATTTAAGGGCCACCCTAATATACATATACGTATACAATAAGGTGTCCATCGATTTGTTTTTTTTTTTACCCGAGCGCGCATGTGCACAAGGGTATTATAATTTGGTTCACATAACGGTTGTTTGTAACAGCCAAAACGAATCAAGATAGATATATGTATATATAAATAATCAGAATGAAAGAGAAATCGATTTATGGGTGACTGTCGTCCGTGTACACGATGACTCGAGCAAAAGTTAAGATATCTCAAAGAAATTGGGTAGGTAGGTTGCCCTTTAC